GGGGCGTAACCCCGAAAATAATTGAGAAGCACTGATATACAGAAAGAGTTTCTTTCTGATCAGGCTGATGAACTGACAGCTATTCTGAGTGCGGCTGAGGCTAAAGTGGATCAGTGGAAACTAGAATGCAAACCTGAAGTCCCTCAGACCTCCTACGGGCCTGTGGTCATGAGGTATGGATCATGACTGAAAGAACAAGATCCTGGATACAAGCAGCCAAAATGAGCTTTCTTTGAAGCGAGGCTCGGTCTTACAGATGGGGTGAGGAGGTCCATCATCTGGGGGGAGTTCAAAATAAAGCTGCTGCTCCTCTGCAATGAAAGAAATCAGTTGAACTAATTTGGTCATCTGATGAAGATGCCTCCTGGACACCTCCCTTTGGCAGTTTTCTGGACACATCCTACTGGGAAAAGACCGCAGGGAAGACCCAGAACTGGCTGGAGGGATTATATGTCATTTGTGGCCTAAGGATGCCTTGGGGTCCCCCAGGTGGAGCTGACGAGTGTTACTGAGGATTTGTGGGTTTCTCCCCCTGAACCTGTTGCCTTCCCGACCTGACCACGGAGAAGATGGAGTTGGAAACATCTGTTCTTTTACTGCTTGAGAGAATTCATTCACTTCTTTCTTCTATGCAGGGGAAATAAACTAGTAAGATCTTAATTTGACCTGTAGACTCAAAAAGAGAAAGCCAATATTTTGAATTGATCTCAGCTAAAACAATCTGCTCCTTTAAAAGAAAACTACGATTGAACAAGAAGCTTCTAGTCCTTTTGACGTGCTCGCAGAGTTAAACGCCTACGAAAACCTTTATTTATTTTTCCTGTTACCGCTCAGTGAAGATGAGCGCTTCGGCTGCAGGCTGTTTTCATGTTTATCTTTTCAACGTGAGATTGGTATTGATCAGTCCAATCAGCCCAACAGCTACTCACAGAGCGCTCCTAACTGAGTGAAAATGACCTGGCTCGGTGCGCTTCATTTAACGCTGTCCACATCCCCTGCAAACAGCAGAAAATGATGGTGCAGGACAAAACCACCAGCTAACAGCTACTGTGTTGAACTTTGGAACCAAAAAAAAACCACCCCACAAGAGATACATTTACACGTTCTCTCCTCTAAACACAGTGTGATGGAGAACTATTAAAAGCCAGATGTTTCTTCCTAATTCGTGCTTTGATCTTTTCTCTTTCTTTATGGAACATCTGGGGCGGTGCAGCAATGTGGTGGTTAACTCCGGCCTCTCACAGAGTCACCGTTTGGGGACTTTCTGTGGATTTGGCTTTTGTGGTTTTCTCCCAGGTGCTTCCAACCAAACATTAAAAGACAGTTTGTTTGGGGTTTCCAAGATGAACGGTGAGTGTGAGCAGAAGGTTTGGGGTCGTACCTCTCTTCCTGCTCTGCTAGCACCGTGTGAACATGGTGTAGCAGATATAGTCAATAAATAAACTATGAATCTGTCCCTGAAGCCCTAAGATCTACACTCAATATTAACAATCATATTAGAAAGTCATCATATCCTGCTGCCTCGTGCTGAAGGTTGCAAAAATGAAGCATCACAGTGAAGCGGAGATGATGGAGCAGAAAACCATAAAAGATGACTTGTTTCCTTTTTGACTTAATTCTGCAGATTGGGCTGGCAATTTTATTTTCCACTTTATAATACATATATTTGTAATTTATCATTTTCAAAAGGAATATTTCCAGACAATATGAAAGTAGCTAAGGTAGTTCCTCTCTTTAAGAATGGTGATAAATGTGTGTTCAATAATTATAGACCAATATCCTTATTACCACAGTTCTCAAAAATTCTAGAAAAACTATTTGTGACCAGATTAGATAAATTTATTACTAAACAAAACATTCTAAGTAGTAGCCAGTATGGGTTTAGAGCAAAAAACTCTACATCAATGGCTCTCATGGAAATAATAGAACAAATAACTACTGCTGTCGATCAAAAACAGTATTGTGTTAGTATTTTTGTTGATTTAAAAAAAGCATTCGATACTATTGACCACACTATTCTCCTTGAAAAATTAAATAAATATGGTATAAGAGGACCAGCATTACACTGGGTATCTAGCTATTTAAAAGATAGGAAACAGTTTGTACAAATAAATGGTGTAAGATCTGACCTGTGCAATATCACTTGTGGAGTTCCTCAAGGCTCTGTACTTGGACCAAAGTTATTTATTTTATATGTGAATGACTTAGTGAATGTATCAGGACTACTCAAATGTGTCCTTTTTGCAGATGACACTACATTTTTCTGTTTGGGTAAAGATGTAAAACGGATGTTGAAATTGATGAAGACAGAATTTGATCAAATACAAACTTGGTTTAAACTTAATAAATTATCATTAAATTTAGATAAAACTAAATACATGATATTTAGTAACAAAAAGAGAACTGTTGATGATCCATTTAAAATTGAGGGTGTTGAGATTTGTAGAGTTAATGAGATGAAATTTTTGGGTGTAATCATTGATGAACAGCTAACATGGAAAAATCACATAAACAAGAACAAAAATATCTAAATCTATTGCAGTACTATACAAAGTCAGGGAATTATTAAATGATAAAGCTCTGTACATGTTGTATAACACAATCATTGTTCCACATTTAATCTATTGCATTGATGTTTGGGGGAAAGCGTGTAAAACATTTACAAAGCCTATTTTTATTTTACAGAAAAGAGCTGTAAGAATTATCACCAGAAAGCATTACAGTCACCCATCAAGCACATTATTTTATCAACTGAAGTTATTGAAGTTCCATGATTTAGTAGATTACAGTATTTTATCAGTTATGTATAGGGCTCAAAATAACACATTACCATTAAATATCCAAATAAATTTTATTAAAAGACAAAGTTGTTACAATCTTAAGGGGATAGAAATATTTGTCAAACCAAAATTCAGAACTAGTCTGAAGGGAAGGTCTACCTCAATCCAAGGAGTTGGATTGTGGAATGGTCTAGAGAGTGATGTGAAAAATGCCAAGTCAATGTGTACATTTAAGAAAAAGATCAAAGCTGAATTGTTAAAAAATATATATATGAAGTAGCTTAGTGTGTGTTTTGTATTAGAATTAGAAAAATTAGAAAGAGTTATTCATTTTGTTCTGTTACTTGAAGATTATTATGTCTGAAATAATTGTTTGAAAAAAGGGGCAGATATAATAAGATTTTTTCTTCTTTCTGCTGCCTTTCATTTTAAATCTTTTGTATCCTTTTTTTTATATTGTTATGGAATTGTTTTGTACTTTTTTTTAAATGAATAAACTATATACCATACCATACCATACCATACCATAAAACTCATCTAAGCTTTTTATCTGAGTAAATTTACTTTACCTTTCATAGTGTGAATTTTTTTGCTACTTACAGTTTTGCTAATGTTAATATTTTCACTTGCTTTATGGACAGTTTGACTAATTTTAGCATCTTTTTTATTTTTAACTGACTCATCGTTCACACTATTGTTTTCCTGTTTATAGTTAATTTCCTACATGTTTTAAACTTCTGCGTACTTTGTGCTATTTTAAGGGTTCGTATATCAAAAACGTCCAACTCGAGCTGAAATAATGCACTATACATTTCAGATTTTGCAACTTTTATATTTTTTAAGACATTTAATTCTATTTTGAAAAAAATATGTATAGACTGCGATATTTTAAATCCCTTCAAAAATCTTGTTTTCTTTGAAATCTACATCAACAACCCTGTTCTAATTTTTGTTGTTGTTTTGTTACACTACCTTTAGCTTCTCTTTACTGTTCGGCTTCTTTTAGTTACAGTTGCTAATTTTAGCTATTGTTTGGCCGTCCTAGCTTTAGGAACTTTTTTGCTACCTTTAGCTACAAATTGCTAATGTTAGCATCTATTTCTCTATTTTCAGCTGCTATTTCACTAATTTTGTATATGTTTTGATATTTTTAACTTTACTAGCTACAGTTTTGCAACTTTTCAATACATTTTTTTCTACTGTCTTTATTTAGCAGCCTTGTTTGGACTTTTAATTTTATGAAAAATCCCAGCGTTTCATAGCTCAGAAAACGTTCAGACTCTGTTTCATCAGAAGACTTTTGTTCTATGGCTCTACAGTAGGAATATATTTACTCCATCTGTCTTTTTGTGTCTTTGCAGCCTGTCCTGTGGGCTACTTCAAGTCTGTTTCCGGCTCTGTTCCCTGCTCCGTGTGTCCACCCAACAGCAGAACCAGCCAGGAGGGATCCAACGTGTGTGAATGTCGCAGCAGCTTTTATCGGGCCGCCACCGATGCCAACTCTTCTGCCTGCACAAGTGAGCTTTGTTTTAGCGTTTGTTTGTTTATGCCCGGCTCTCTGGGAGGTGTGGGCCTCTGGAGTCATTTGTCATTGACTCAGCCTGTGAGAATTAAGATTCACAATGACTGAGCACAATTAATTTTCTGTTATGGAAATTTTACCCTTTAAATTGCACCGAGAGAAGAAAACTTGTTAAGGCTCTATTTTCGCTTCACTGAAAACGCGTCACCATTTAGTTATTTTATGAAGTTCTTTCCATTACTCTTTACTGAAATGGCTTTGCCAGCATGCAGCTTCTCCTATATCGTAATCGTTTTAGCAAGTGCTACATTTTAGAAATGTCCACCGCTTAGACTGTACATGTGAAACTCATCCTGTTCCTTGTCCCTCTGGTTCTCCTCAGCTCCTCCATCTGCTCCAGTGTCTCTGACCTGGGAGTATGAAAGCGGCGAAGGTGGGGTGTCCCTCAGGTGGCGTCCTCCCGTGGACATGGGAGGTCGCAGTGAAGTCTGGTACGGGGTGGTGTGTCGCATCTGCCCCTCGCCCACATTCAGCAACCCGGCCATGTGCTCCTGGTGTGGAGAGGGGGTCACTTTCAGCCCCTCAAAAAACAACCTCAGACAAACAAAAGTCACCCTCAACAACCTGCTGACCAGGGTCACTTACCTCATACAGGTGCTTTGAAAAATAAAACATCTGCAATATAAACTGTTAAGATCGTCTGAAGACTATATGAGCCTTACCTGTTATAGAAAGCTTTTTGAACTACTTCAGATTAGATAGTTTAATTCTGAAAGGATTGAGGAGTAAACAGCTAGTCAGAACTGAATCAAGTCCAGCAGGATTGCTGTTTTCTAGAACTAACTCCAGTTATATCGGGATTATTGAGCATGGACTTTGTTGTTAACTCCAGTTATACCTGGATTATTGAGCATGGACTTTGTTGTTAACTCCAGTTATACCTGGATTATTGAGCATGGACTTTGTTGTTAACTCCAGTTAGTTTCAATTATAGCTGTTGCTGATGCAAACACAGTTTTATAAACATTTTTAATTTAGCTACAAATAGTTATATACAGGCAGCACGGTGGTGCAACTGGTAGAGCTGTTGCCTCTCAGCGCGCAGGTTTCTGGTTCAAATCCTGGTCCGGTACTCCGATTTCCTTCCACAGACCAAAAACATGCATGTTAGGCTGATTGGTAACTCTAAATTGTCCCTAGGTGTGAGTGAGAGAGTGAATGGTTGTTTGTCTCGTTTGTCTCTATGTGTCCCTGTGATGGACTTGCGGCCTGTCCAGGGTGTACCCCGCCCCTCGCACAGTGATTGCCGGACATGGGCACCGGCGACCCCCGTGACCCAAAATGGAAGAAGCGGGTAAAAGATAATGGATATATGGATGGATGGTTGTATACAAAGACTCCTATTGGTTACTTACCAATATCAGTAGCAGCTAGCTGTAGTGCTTCTGGTGCAGCCAGGGAAATTTCCAGTAGGAATATCATATTTATGTATATAAAAAACAGGTAATGCAAAATTATTGGCAGTGTAAAGGTTTATAAAATATTGTTTGCATCAGTGCTTTGATTTTATTTATTTTTTTTTTTTTTTGACTGAAGTTGTTTTCAGATAACAAAAATCTGATTTGGTCTTGGACCCCCTTAGAGTAGCTGTTAGCTTCTGCTCATATTAGTTGTTAGCGCTCACTTGGAACTAATCATTAGCTCTTGCTTCAGCTAACGGTTCCAGCTCAAGCAGCCAATAGCTCATGCTGAACTGGCCATTAGCTTGTTCAGAGACTTGCCCTTAGGGCCTGCTTCAAACTAGCTGTTAGCTCTCATTTGGACTAGTCATTAGCTCCTGTTTGATCTAAAAGTTCCAGCTTGGAATAGATAGCTCATGCTCGAACTAGCCATTAGCTCCCTATCAAATTAGTCACTGCTTGGACTAGCTGTTAGCTCTCACTCAGAGTAGCTGATTGGTCCAATTCAAACTAGTCTTTAGCTCCTGATCAGATTAGTTTATAGATTCTTGGAATAGCCAAGCTAGTCTGAACTAATCTCTGTCTTCAAACAGAGGTTGTTCAAAGAACATTTCACAACCAAAAAGATGCTATTTGAACAAAACCCTTACAGAATCATAATTCAAAGATCAGAATTGTTCATGTTGGGACATTTTTATCATTTACCGTAATTAGGCAAAACATCTGTGCTATATTATTTTAGAAGTACTGCATCATCAAAAACGCACATTTATTATTTAACTCTGCATAGCTCAGTTAAAATCTGCCCTATTTCTTATTCATAATGGGCAGGCATTTCCCTTTCACTAGTACGAGTTGACTTGACAGTGGATGCTGTGCGCCTGTATTTTTTGTTTTTTCTCACGCATGTCAGAAATGTCAGTGCAAACTTTGAATGTCACATCTCCTCGTATTGACAGGTGCAAGCCATGAACGAGGTGTCAGCTCTGAGTCCTTTTCCAGCTCGATACACAAGCATCAATTTCACCACCAGCCAGTCAGGTGAGAACGGGACAGACAGGATGAAAGAGATGAGATGAAAGTAGATGAGATGCTCTGATGATGATGATGATGTGTGTGTGGGTCCTATGTGTGTGTCTGTGTGAGCGGTTGCCCTCCACCCCACCACCCTTCTTCATCTTTCTTGTTCCCGCTCTCTGGACACGAGGTTGCTCGAGGTTTCAGTATCCTGTCAGATCTCATTATGTTCACAGTGGAGAAAGAAAAGGGATGAATGAGAGATGGGAAGACAAAGAGACAGACAGACCTACAAAGAGATCAAAGCAAATGAGCTGGAAGAGGAAAGAAAGGGGGATTGTGCAGATCAAGTGCATCGTTATACAGCTTTCCAAGAAACCAATTACAATTAAGTAGGACTTCAATTTATCGAAATGATCTAAAATCTTCTTGTGTGTACTCCTGGAGTCTATCGATTAAATGAAAAGGACTGCTCCCTGTAACTGGACCTTCCTGCCAACACAGTGGTTGTAACAAGATCCTGCAGGCGCTCCATAAAAACTCCACTTTCTGTCTCTAATGAACGTCCCCTTCATGTTCTGTCATACTGCCCCCATGTGGTTACCGTCACCTCCACACGGCTTTATTGTCAAATATGAATTCTTTTCAGCTCAGTTATAACCCAATTTGATCCAGTTCACTCACTCATTTTTAAATAAAAACAATCTAAATTGTCCTAATCCAGTTTAAAGAAACACAGTCTAAATGAATTAAAACCAAGTTTGAATTAATTCAGTCCAGTTCCAGGCCTGATTTAATCACAGACCTACATCTGTCTAATTCACATTAACTCTCAAAGAGTGATGTGCGCCTCAAAATGCGCTGCCTAACACATATAATGTAGTTTCACCACCTTAAATGAGGTTTTACTCCTGCATTTTGAGGAAAAATCCTCCTGTATTTACATGAATTACTGCCGTGGCGAAACTTCTTCAGTTCTACAAGATCAGCACTGTTTGCTTCATTTAATTTACATGCAATATTTAACACCTCCTCAGAGTGGGTGGTTATTATGACTCTGGGGAGAAAACAGGAGACGAAGAGAAACTTGCTGGCTGTATAAAAACAAGAAAGAAGGGTTGGCGTGTCACAGAAGGTACACATGAACGTCTCAAATGGTTTTTCTCTAACAAAAAACATGACAAATGATTTTGGTAAGCCGCAAAAAATTTCTGATAAAGTGCTTAAAACTTGATTCTTGGTGTTTTACATTCAGAGCACTAAACCTTAGATTACATTATAATTTTAGAACATTCAGCAGATTCAGTTAAGGATACTAAATACAGTTCAAAATAATTAAAGATGCAAATAAAAGCAGTCTATTCTTAGTACGATGTGGTGCACTGATCCAAGTGGACAGTCGTGTCAGGGCTGAAGGGACACTGACTTCTCCCCGCAGTAAAAACGCAATATAAAAATAATTATTTCTTACTAAATCAGACCCTTACTTTATTGACAGTCACAATTATATTAATAATAATCCACCTCTGGTCTCCCACAGTTCCCAGTACAGTTCCTGCGATGCACCAGCTGAGCCGAGCTCCAGACTCCATCACGCTCTCGTGGCCTCAGCCAGACAGACCCAACGGAGACATCCTGGAGTACCAACTCAGATACTACGACAAGGCACGTGCACGCATACACACGCGTCATGCTTTTGCTCTGAAAAACGGAACAAACACAAAATAAGAGCCCCTTCGTCCGTCCCCTCCAGGGTTCGGATGTGGACAGCGCGTTAACTGTGTACAGCGAGACCAACACGGTGACGGTCAACTCGCTGATTCCTGGCTCCATCTACGCCTTCCAGATCAGAGCCCGAAACGAGCGAGGCTACGGCCCCTACAGCAACACCATCTACTTCACCACACTGCCTTTGGGTACGCAAATCTGTAGTTACAGCAGCGATGAAATCTGTACATGGAAAAAATAAGAGCATTAAAAGGCACTCAAACAACCTCTGAGTTCATTTACGTAAGACACCAGTAACCCTTCTGAATAATGAAAACTAAGGCTCCTGAAATATTCAAGGATTCAAAAACATTGGCAGCAAGGAGCAAAGCACTTTTTATACGATATTATACTTCACTCATCGCCAGAGTTTAATGTTATGGTGGATTTTCTGACATATTGGTGGACTCGAGAATTAAACAAGTCAACTGTCGTTTGTGGTGACGCTACAGCAGCTAATAAGTTTAACAGTGTGAGGTTTTACTACTACCCAGAACAGTTGGGACCAAAATGAGCAACCACAAGACACGTAGTAAGGCAACAGTGTTTATTTACAAAATGTAATAAGTAAACAGTAGGACTGCAACACTGGTGGGAGGGACTGGAACCTGTAGGAGAAGATGGTAAACTCATAGGCATGAGACACCAAAGTTCACGCTCAATAATCCAGGTATAAAATCCAACAATGTTCAGTCAGGTCATCTGGACGGTTTCTTTTTTTGCCGAGATGTTTCATCCTTCATCCAAAGGACTTCCTCAGTCTGAGAAGCCACTAAAACAAAACTGATTCCCACAAAGAGCACACTCCATAGTGGGGAAAAAAAACTGTTTGCTGGTGCTAAGATGGCCTCCGGGGCCCGCCCTCTCCTCTCCCTTGGCAACTCCTCTGAGACAGTCATGCCAAAGTGGTTGAGGAAGTCCTTTGGATGAAGGACGAAACGTCTCAGCAAAAATAGAAACTGTCCAGATTACCTGACTGAACATTGTTGGATTTTATACCTGGATTATTGAGCATGAACTTTGATGTTTTGAACCACTTTGACATGACTGTCTCAGAGGAGTTGACGAGGGAGAGGGCGGGCCCCAGAGGCCATCTTAGCACCAGAAAACTGTTTTTTTTCCCACTATGGAGTCTGCCGTTTGTGGGAATCAGTTTTGTTTGATGGCTTCTCGGATTGAGGAAGTCCTTTGGATGAAGGACGACACGTCTCAGCAAAAAAAGAAACCGTCCAGATGACCTGACTGAACACCATAGGCACGAGGGGCCAAAGGTTTCAATGGTAGTCCAGAGAGATTGCAGGTAACGGTAAGTGGGGAAGACTATGAGCAGCTGAAGAGATCACCAGAAGATCCACAGAGAGAACAAGGAGGTCCATGGCGTTGTAGGAACACAGGGGGATGCTGAAAAGCACCGGAGCAAGGAATTAGTCTTTGCAACAAATGCTAAGAACACAACAATAGTCAGGAACACAGCTACCATAAGGCAGACAATGTACCCGCATCAGATAGAAGTCATGCGGACATTTATACCCGTGCAGCTCATCAGGGTGATTATCCACAGGTGTGCGTCCGTTGGCGCCATCTGGTGTAGAGGAGCTGTAGGAGAAAAACCCTAGAGCTCCTACAAACAGAATAGGAGAGTGAGGAAGCTGCAGCTAAGAAAAATGCAAAACAGGAAGTTTATATTTTGATGCCTCGTGACTTGTGCAAATTTGGAGTCATGAGCCAACAAGTTGCTTGTAATTAAAGCATGCTCGAATCCTGCAGCCAACTGACTCGGCCTTCATGACCTGAGTTTGCCTAATTAGACAAGAGAAGGAGCGCTATAAGGTGACCGTTCAGTTCAATAGTCAGAATGGAACATTAAGTGTCAATAGCCACGTTTAAATCCACAAGTATAACATGTTGCAGTAACATATAATGATCACGAGCCATAAAATATTCTTGGAATCGGTAACACAAAACAATTTTCAAAGCACAAGAATAACTTCTTACAGTGATTTTTAGCAAGTTGTTTCATTTTGTCTTACAGAAGCTTTGACTGAACTCATGTTTCCATGATGTAATCAAAGTTCACGAAACTGTCATGAAAAGTTCAACCTCTAGGATTTTTCTTACTACACACAAGAACAGCTGTGTTGGAAATGAACAAGACTTCAGAATTCATACACTTTTTTTAGATAATATTTAAAAACACAATTCATCAGGATTTTTCCCCTTTTTTTTGTCGACTGTCCCACAGAGGAGCATTCACAGCAGGTCCAGCATCGACTCCCTCTGCTTGTCGGCTCGGTGATGGGCGGCGCAGCCTTTCTCCTCGTGGTGGCGGCCATCGTGGTCGTGGTCGTATTCCGCAGGTAAGTTTTCAAAATGTTTGTTAATTCATCCGTTGAATTTTCCTCATGTTTTTGTAAAGTCACACATTTTTCCTTCTCCTGGCAGCAAGAGGAGGGAGAGTCCTTACAGTGACAGACTTCAGAGATACATCAGTAATCGAGGCGAGTATGTTGAAGTTATTGTTACTAAATTAGGTTTTACTTTAATTTAATTGGTTGTTTTAGTTAGATTTTTGTTTTGTGGTAAACAGCAAAGCATTCTTAATGACCTGAGTGTTGAATATTTCTTTTATACTGCAACTCTTTTGTTTGGGTACTTTTTGGATTAAAACTTTTATTTATAGTTTAAAGTTTTTTCTTTATTAGATAAAATAAACTAGACAGGACAGTCTGTTGTATCGACTGATTATTGAGTGTTTCTGTCGTGCACAGACCATGTGGTCCAGGGGACTGAGGGAATTTTGTCAAGAAATATTTTATTTATTTCATAAATATGCTCATGACTAATGAAATATTGTTCAAGGGATTGTTCAGAAATATTAAACATCTGAATCTCCACTAAAAAATCAACCTTTATGTTGTGAAAAATGACAAAACTTTGACTTAAAACAATCATTATAAACATTCTTCTATCAGGTCCAAAGTGTGCCGATTCATAAAAATACGACAACAAAATGATCAAATGAAACAGAAAAAAATGGTCAATGGACTGTACTTATATAGCACCTTTCTATCTTATCGAGATACTCAGAGCGCTTTACAACACAGTCTGTGCCTCATTTACCCATTCATACAGCACTCTACTAATCTATACAAAGATTAATCAGAGCTTTATCACATTCATACACCAGTGGGATACACATCAGAGGCAATGAGGGGTTCAGTGTCTTGCCCAGGGACACTTCAACATAAGACTGCTGGTGGTGGAATCAAACCTTCTTCACTTGCATTGGAGAATGACTGCTCTAACCACTCAGCCACAGCCGCCCCAACAACAACAAAAAACACAATAACCTGAGAAAATGCAGAAATACTTAACATGGATCTACCAAAACAAAATAAGGCATAAGTTAAAATGGTAATTAAACAAAAATACAAAATCATATTTATTTAAAAAAAAAAAAACAGAAAATTTAAAACTCTGACCAAACTTGGTCGCTACAGGAGAAAAAGGGCCAAAATGGACTAAACCTGGACTAAAGGAATCTGTACTAAGATTTAACTCAATACAGAACCACTAAAAATAAAATGGTCCAAAACAGGACAAC